AGTTACCATGTGTAGGGTTTCTGAGGAGCGGCTGGTGAGTTTGAACCACCGACCTTGTGGTTCAAACCAAACTTGAGGTCAAGTACTTATCTTATGGCACCACACCAAGACTCCGTTCTTTTCAGTAGTGTATAAATAACTGCCAGCTTATTACTTCATTGCTAATAAGATAACAGAGAATTTTTTTCCATTAGTGTTTTGAGTTTTGACTATCTAAAGTCAATTTTCTAAAAAATTGCTATTTGAATTCACTCATTTTTTTTTTCTTTTTTCTTTTCTGGTATATGAATGCTTAGTCAATCTTTAAAAATATTGGCACTATTCATACTCAAATTTAAAAAAGAAAATAATACAAACCTATATGTTTGACATAATTTGGATATGGTGGTGGTGGTGGTGTTCCAACTTATAGCAACCCTGTATAGGGTTTCCAAGGCTGTAGATCTTTATGGGTGCAGAAAGCCTCATCTTTCTCCTGCAGAATGGCTGGTAGTTTCAAACTGCTGACATTGAGGTTAGCAGCCTGACTTGTAACCACTACATTATCAGAGATCCTTAACTTCGATATAACTATGACTTATAAACTATACAATCTGATTAAACTATTGTCAAATATTCACTACACAAAGTAATGTTAAATTGGTAATCACCTACTGATTTTAAGCTATTTTAACCTTTAGCTGGACACCTCCCCCTTAAATATCCATTAGGAATTTTTATTAAAGGTGATTTAAAATTTAACCTAAAGTTATTAATTACCTAATTATAAACCAGCTGAATAATTTGCTGTTAGATTCTAAAATAATAAGCACAAGGGGGAACCTTAGAGTTTTCTTGGAATTTCCTTTCTCTGTCATCCTGCATGCTGGTTTTAATTATCCAGGGTCAAGATCTTTTCCACAGGTGAGAGCACAAGGAGAGAATTGCTTCTGGACAGTAGCAAATTGTCTGTCCCAGTTGGGGAAAATCTGTAATTGCCATTTAATCTAGGTGCACTGACCAGGATGACCTTTATTTTTACAAGTTAAGAAGTTGGTGTTATTCCATTAACCATGTTGTTATATCTTGCTTGGATAAATAATTGTATCAAAATATGATAATATAGTCTGATTATTATAAAGTAAAGATGAACTAAATACAAAAATACAGATATAAAGGAAATGATTACAAGATAAGAAAATATAGCATCTATATTTCCCCAGGTCCTTCTAAGCATAAAACAAAAAGAGAAATCACAAAAAGAAAAATTTTTGACTATATAAAAATGACCATCTATGCAAGTAAAAATCCACCAGAAACAAATTAAAAGACAGATTGCAAACCAAAAAACTATTTGTGACACATATGGTAAACGAATGTTTAATATGCAAAACTCACAAAGATTTCTTACAAGTCAATTAAAAAAAGATGAAACTTTAATATAAAAACTTCCGAAGTATGCCTTTCAGAAATTTACACACTCTATCAAGTGAAGAAAATAAAAATAGTTCTTGCTTCTTTTCCTAAATTATCCTAACTCATTAGTTACAAAAATATATTTTAAAATGTTAGTAATGTTGATATTTTTGTCTCCTACCCAAATGGCAAATACCTAAGGTGATGTGGTATAAATAATAAAACTGCTGATAAGCATTTTTTGGGAAGGAATTTGGTGCTATTCATCATCAAAAACTTTAAAATAGCATGTATCATATGATTCTATAAATATGAATCCTGACAAAACAATTAAAATAAAAAAGAAATGTACACATAAATCATATACTTGTTTTTGTTGTTAAGTGCTGTGGAGTAGGTTCCTAGCACTGTATAGGATTTCCAAGAAGTGGTTGGTTGGTTTGAACCACTAACCTTGTGGCTAGCAGTCCAGTGCTTATCCTACAGTGTCACACCAGGACTCCTGATTATGTTGTTGTTGTTGTTGTGTGTGTGCCATGGAGTCATGTCCGACCCATAGTGACCCCGTACAGGGTTTTCAAGGCTGTAAATCTTTACGGGAGCAGAAAACCTCATCTTTCTCCTGTGGAGCAGCTGGTAGTTTCAAACTGCCCGATTATGTACTAGGTAATTAATTCTAGAATTATTTTAAACTGAAATGAGAAACAATGCCTAATATCTAATGGTAAGGAACATACTCAAAGAGTGGGAAATATTATGCAATTATAAAAACTGCATTGTCAGAGGGTAAACACTTGGGAACATGCTTAAGTAAAAAGCAAGTAATAAATATTATGCCAGTTTTGCAATATATACACAAGTAAAAGAACAGGAAAGAAGTTCCTCAAAATGTTACTAGGGTTAATGTTTTCATTACTGAGTAATGGGATCTTTGACGATTTATATATTCTTCCGGATACTTACAGTATTTAATATTTTCTTTAATGTCAATCAGATGCTCCTCAGAAACAGGGCTGTTAGAGTCTGAACCAACTTGATGGCATTTAACAACAACAACAGCGTCTACTCATATTACTTTTTTTTTTTTTTTTTTAATGTTTTTATTGTGGATTGAGTGAAAGTTTATAGGGCAGATCATCAGTTTTACATTCAACAAATCATACACCTTGTTTCAATACAATGATTACAATCCCTTCCATGTACCATCAGTTAACCGTATTTCTCTCTATTCACTACTTCAGCTTTTTAAAAAAAACAAAACAAAACACTCAGGCATATATAATTTACACCATCAAAGGGTACATTCTGCAAGTCTGCCTCCTGGCCACCAGCTCTTAGTCCCTCTCTTTCCATGAATCTAGAGTCCTCAGCTGCTCCCCCTCTCTATGTCCCCATCTCGGTCTCCATCTCTGATGTTGCTGCTTCTCTGGATCAGGTCTCTCGTTCTACTTGTGCTTGTCTCCCTTAATGGTCCTTGGACTGTAAATTTTACTACTCCCCCATTTTTGTTACAAAACTTCCACCTTTACAATTATGACAGTCACAATTAGAAATGATAACAGTTACTCACTGTTGAATCATAAGAATCTTATCCCCATCTCTTTTAACTAGAACCATGTAGACAAGATGAAAATTATTCTTTGGGGACTCTTTCTCTCCTCCCCCCCACTATTAAACTAAACTTCCCCTTGAAACCTTGTAAGCCAGTCACTCAGTGCCTTTATCACCCCCTCATTTTAGGTTGTTGTTGTTAAGTGCCGTCGAGTCGGTTTAGACCCATAGCGACCCTGAATAGGGTTTCCGAGGCTGTAAATCTTTACGGGAGCAGATCACCTCATCTTTCTCCCGCGGAGTTGCCTATCCCTATCTGCCATGTGTACAGAGGGGATAGCAGTGATCCTTGATGTGAAGACACCTTCCCTCTCTGTTGGTATTTAGAGTTACTACCGCCATGAGTATAGGTCAGGTTCATCAAATTGTAGCAATTTACCCTTGTTTCCTGTGTCAATTTTTGTGTGTGTGTGTAATCTTCCTCTAGTCGAGTTCTGACTATCAAGTCATTGAGGCTAGGTCAAATGGGTACTGTCTACAAGTTTGGGTGTTCTTGTGCATCTCCCCTTACTTCATATCAGCTGGATCTTTCACTCTCAGCTTTAGCCCTCTGTGGCTATGTCCTTGTCCATGGGCTCAGGTGTCCCCAGGTCTCACCACACTTTGGACCAACAAGTCCTTCCTCTTCTCTCTCATCTTCAGGTCAATGGGAGTCTGTGGAATGTGGTTGAACTCAGCCCTCGTATTACATACACACACACACACATATATATATGTACATATATATGTATATATAAATATATATACACATACATATACATATATATATACATACATATACATATAAAGATAGTGGGAGGTATCAAGTTTTAGTCCTGGTGTGGCGCTGTGGGTTAATGAGCCAGACTGCAAAGCCATTTGAACTGCAAGGTCGGTGTTTCAAGCTCACCAGTCACTCCACGGAAACCCTATATAGGGTCACTATGGGTCAGAACCGACTCGATGGCACTTAACAACAACAACAAATGTTTATTCAAAGAGTACTAGAGACAATTATTCGGCTAGGTGGATTTCTCCAAGTACTCAAATATCACAAATGTGGGTGTTCATTTTGACCAACCAACAGGATAACTCACTCATTGTCTACTTGGTTATGTTTTGAATGAAGGAAGATGAATGAAGACCATTCCAGTCATTCTAGAGCTGGAGAAACTGCTTTCCATAAAAACAGAAGAACTTACCTGCCCAAGGTTTCATCCCCTCCCTTGAAATAACACCAACAGCAGAAATAATTGTCACTGTTACTACCAACAGATACTGATGGCGCTACTCTGCTTGCCAGATATCTTCTAAGCGTTTTATATATTTATTTAATTCTCATAACCACAATAGTATATGGAATATGTGTTATTTTCATTAAAGAGGTGAGAAAACGGAGTCAAAACTGCATGAATACTTCTGCCCTTTCTTCTTCACCATTAACGAAAATAAGAAACACCTGGAAATTCTGAGCCTACCTAGCTTACATCCTTTCGTAGAGACGTTCCTAGGGCGTGTGTGTGAGTGTGTCTGTGGTGCTCGGATAGGAAGATTTTAAAGCCCAGTGGCCGGAAAACAATGTCCTGCATTTGTTCATACTGCATCTCTGGAGCGCCCCTCCCGGTGGGCCGTCGAAACCTGGGGATAGGAGATTTAACAGTCCGACCCAGGCTTCACTTGCGCTCTAACGAGTAATTAGGCTCCAGACCCCCGCGGCGGCACAGCCCCTTGGGAGCCGCTCCCCTGGGCCTGAGCCCACGCCCGTGCCACCTGCACCGCGGAGCCCCGCGTCCCCGCCCCGCGTCCCGCCCCCGCGCCGCGCCCGCGCTCCATCCCTCCCTCCGGCGTGACGGGAGAGCCGGCGCCCGCTGCCGGGGCGAGAGCGCAGCGGAACTGACAGCGGGCGCGCAGGCGGGCGGCAAGCGAGCGAGTGGCGAACGGATCGCGCAGCCCAGCAGCTTCCCCACCCCGGCGAGGCTGCCTTCCTGCCTCCAGCCGACCTCTGCGGGACCAAGATGCTGCTCCAAGCCCTGGGGCCGACGCGGGGGAGGGACCGGGGGCGGCCGGCCAGGGCTCCCCAACGCTGGCACTCGCCTCCCTGGAGCCCCGCCTGGATCTGCTGCTGGGCGCTTGCCGGCTACCAGGCGGCCTGGGCTAGGGACCTGTCCTCCTCCAGCCGTCCACTTCCTCCTTGCCAGGAGGTGAGCAGCACTGGGTCCTCTATCTGGAGTTTGCGGGTGGGGGTGATTAGGGATGGTGTTTACGTTCCTCTGTTGGCCTTCACCTTTTTCTTCTTGGAGGACATGGTTTTGGTTTATTTTAAGGACTGAAGTTGCCCGCTTCGGGTGACCAGGCAAGGGAGGGTATGCAGCATTGCTGTCTTCCAGTGATGCTTTTTTGTTCGCTTTCGTGTGTTTTGAGGGCTCTGAAGGACTTTGTGGTGCCCTTTTTGGAGTGCCAGGCTTGGGGAACTGGTGCTGAGGGAGAGATTTCAGGAAGGGGAAGCCCGCCAGTGGAATTTGGAGAGCCTTTTTATCACAGCTTTTCTTTCCAGAGAGCTCTTGGTCTAGAGAGTCAGATACTGACACGGAGTATTTCCCGCTCTCCCCCAGCTGCAAGTTCCTCCTCCCGTCTCCACTCTTGTCTCTACAAATCCCCTCTTCTTGCACTCAGCTTGCTGATGAGGCCCTGGAGATTGGCTAAACCATCTCGTGTGCCATTTGACATCCCTCTGGCAAATATGAAGATGAATTAGGATGAAAAAAGAGTGTATTTAGGGAAGAGGTGGGTTGGTGATCTACAAAATCAGAAACGACCAAGTGAATATGCTCCTGTTTGGGAGGTGCTTCGTTACCTGGCTGAAGCGTTGCCAGGTGATGAAGCTTGAGGTTATTGTTGATTTACAGTCAGGAAGGATATGGATGATGAGTTTTCTCCTGCCTTTAGGGGAAGTGGACTTAGTGTGCCAAATATTTGCAGGTGTATCATTGGTACTTATATAGGGTACTTGTCCTTCCTTTTAGTGTTTTAGAAAGTGCATTCTCTTAATGAAAATCAATAAGGAGATGGAAGAAACATTTCTGACCTACTTTGAATGATTATGTTGGAAGTGATCTGAAGAGTGGATACTGTTATTAGGAAGATTGCTGTGCATCAGGGTTATGGGTCATTTTCATTTACAAGTGGGCTTCAGAAAGCTTGTGGACAAGTGGAATGAAAAGATAATGGAAATTTCCCACTAACTTCCTGAAGCCCCTTGGCTGTACCAAAACTAGATTAACCAGTATCTCCTCTGAGAAGGTGAAAACCTGTTTCTTTGTGTATGTCACTGTGACTTTGAGTATTACCTAGATTTGAATTACAGAGTAACTGTTTTCTAGACTTTATCCATTAATTTTCTTGTTTTCTACAATAAAAAATCCTAAGACAGATTAAAGTGAAAGGGAAACAGATCAAAGACATGTGTGTGAACACACAATAGAGTTGTATTTGGGGGAAACCAGGGCAAGAGTCCTGTTGTGGCACTGGAGGATAAGGACTGGATTGCTAACTTCAAGGTCAGTGGTTTGAACCCACCACGTTCTCCTTGGAAACCTTATAAAGGGTGGCTATGAGTCAGAACATCCATATTGTCAGGAGGGAACAGTCGCTGGAGAAGGATGTCATGCTGGGTAAGATGGAGGGTCAGAGAAAATGAGGAAGACCCCCAACGAGATGGATCAGCCAGGTGGCATCATTGATGGCATCAAGAGTGGCAGCGGTAGTGAGGTTGGCCCAGGATTGGACATTGTTTCGTTCTGCTGTGCATGGGGTCGCTATGAGTCGGTTCCGACTCAATGGCACCTGACAACAACAACAAATGAGTCAGAACAAACTTGGAGGCACTTGACAATAACAACAGGGCAAGATATTGATAAACAGATGTGTTTAATTTCAGAGTTTATTAGTATAGTTAGTTGTTTGCCTTGTGTTCTCCAACTTTACCTATCATTTGGGAATAATCCATTCTTTACAGGTTTGCACAGAAAGATGTTTCTTGGAAATCCACAGATTGAACAGCTGTGACAGGAAAAAAGTTAAACTATTTTCCCCTAGCCCCCAACTCAAATATGCAGTGTATTTTCTAAAGAGAAGCGTCTGAAGCTTACTGTAGCGGTAATTCTTAGGCATGAAGACTCTACTTGCTGCATGGCTGAATGAAATAAGGGAAGGTCTAGTGACGGTGGCGGTGATGCTTTTGGTCACTACAACAGGTGTGATCCTTTAGATAAACACATGTACACCTAAAAAGAACAAAGAGTCTACAACCTAAGTAGAGAAAGTAGAGATGGGGAGACTTCAGAAGATACAAGAAGTCTGTGTTCAATTAAACCCATCTTCTTATTGCTCTGGTTTTGAAAATTGCAGGCGACTTAATCCCTTGAGGTCTCAAGTTTGATTTTTTTTCCCTCTAAAAATGTGAATAAATAAAACATATAGGAAGGTGCTACTGAGCCTGCTAGTTGGGTTTTCAGAAATGGATTCATATATAGTCTTCTGATGTCTGACAATTGACTGGGAATTAGAGGTTCCTTTGGAAATCACAGAGGCAAAGTGGTCTCCCAGGGGCTGTATCTTCTCCTTGTCATCTGGCCTAACCAGCTGAGCTAATTCTTGGAATTGATTATTCACTCGCTCTCTGACATTATTTTTAAGGAGAAAGCTGGAAAGGCAGGTGTTTTCCAGCTTTGAGGGTTATGGCCCCCTTGTGCTGGGGGTGAGGAGGGTGGATTGAGTTCATCTCTTTCCTCTGAGATAAAGCTATGGTAATGTGGAGCAAATTTCTTTGAACAAAGACAGATTTAAAGTTCTTGTTTAGTGTGTCCATTCATGCCAGTTTACCCTTTTTTTTTTTTTTTTCTAACTGTGTTTTAGTAATAGGGAAGTAGGTGAATGCCATATGCAAGGTCCAGTACCAGGTGGTGAGGAGGGGCGTGAGAACCATTACAGTGAGGCAGGTCTAAACCAACTCTTAAACAATATGAGAGAATTTTAAAGAGTAGGGAAAAATGAAATCTGTATATAATTCTAAACATCATCTTATCCAAATGTTCAAATCACATTCTTATATAAGGTTAAGTCAAAAGTGTTGCTAGGGTTCCAGTTCATACATGCATGGGTTTAATCCAAACAAAACATGTTTAAACATATCTCTGAGATCAGTGGGTTGATGAGAAAAAGGCCAGGAAAACTGTGCCAAGGAATTCCCTTCCATCTTGACAATGCACCTGTTCATTCTTTGAGTGTAGTAGCAATGACTCTACTATAAGAATCACTGGGAAACCATACCTCATCCATCTTATACCTTACCTTATCCTGATTTACCTTCTTAGACTAATTTCTCTTCTCTAAGCTCAGAGAACATTGACAACTTGAGTCCCCTGAGGATGATAAAACTGCAATTTTCAGATGGTGCAAGTAAAAGAGTACAGAATTCTTCTGGGAAGAATTGTTGTTGTTGTTAAATGTGGTAGAGTCGGTTCCGACCCATAGTGACCCTGCATGGGGTTTCCGAGGAGTGACTGGTGAGTTTGAACTGCCGATTTTGTGGTTCAAATCATCTTTGCAATCTAGCACATTAACCCACAGCACCGCACCAGGACTACTCTGGGAAGGATTGTGGTTGTTGTTGTTAGGTACCATCAAGTTGGCACCGACTCATAGTGACCTTATGCACAGCAGAATGAAACACTGCCTGATCCTGGGCCAACCTCACTACTGTTGCCACACTTGAGTTCATCGATGCTGGCACTTGGCCAATCCATCTCGTTGGGGGTCTTCCTCTTTTTCTCTGACCCTTCACCTTACCAAACATGATATCCTTCTCCAGTGACTTGTCCCTCATGACAATATGTCCGAAATATGAGAGACGAAGTTTGGCCATCTTGGCCTCCAAGGAGCACTCTGGTTGCACTTCTTCCAAAATGGATCTGTTGGTCTTTTGGCAGCCCATGGCTCTTTCAGTATTCTCCTCCAACACCAAACTCAAATGCATCAGTTCTTCTCTGGTCTTCCTTACTCACTGTCCAGCTTTCACATGCATATGAGGTTATTGAAAACACCATGGCTTAGGTCAGGCACATCTTAGCACTCAAGCTGACATCTTTACTCTTCAACACTTTTAAAAGGTCTTGTTCAGCACATTTGCCTAATGCAACATGTCGTTTGATTTCTTGACTGCTGCTTCCATGAGTGTTGATAGTTGATCCAAGAAGAATGAAGTCCTTGACAACTTCAGTCTTTTCTTCGTTGATAAGAATGTTGTTTATTGGTCCAGTGGTGAGGATTTTTTTTTCTCTTTACATGGAGATGTAAACCAGACCTCATCAGTAAATATTTTAAGTCCTCTTCACTTTCAGCAAGCAAGGTTGTATCATCTGCATATCGCAGGTTGTTAATGAGTCTTCCTCCAATCCTGATGCCACGTTTTCCCTCATAGAATCCAGCTTCTCGGATTATTTGCTCAGCATACAAGTTGAGTAAGTATGGTGACAGAATACAACCTTGTCACACACCTTTCTTAATTTTAAACCATTCAGTGTTCCCATGTTCTATACGAACAACTGCCTCTTGGTCCAGGTACAGATTCCTCATGAGCACAATTAAGTGTTCCAGAATACTCATACTTCTCAATGTTGTCCATAGGTTGTCATGGTCCACATAATCGAAAGCCTTTGCCTAGTCAATAAAGCACAGGTAAACATGTTTCTGATAGTCTCTGCTTTCAGCCAAGATCCATCGGACATCAGCAATGATATCCCTCATTCCATGACCTCTTCTGAATCTGGCTTGAACCTCTGGAAGTTCTCTGTCAATGTATGCTTGCAGCCGTTTCTGTGTTACCTTTAGTAAAACTTTACTTGCATGGGATATCAAAGTTATTGTGTAATGATTTCCACATTCCGCTGAGTCCCTTCTCTTTGGAATGGGCACAGATTCAGATGTCTTCCAATTAGTTGGCCAGATAGTTGTCTTCCAAATTGCTTGACAGAGATGAGTGAGTGCCTCCTGTGACACCTCACTTTCTTGAAAGATTTCAATTTTTATTCCATCAATTCTTGGTGCCTTGTTCTTTGCCAATTCCTTCAATGCACCTTGGACTTCCTCTTTCAGTATCATTGGCTCTTGATCATATGCTACCTCTTGAAATGGTTGAACGTGA